CAGTAAGGCACTTGTTACTACTAGCGATGCACTTGTTCCTAGTAGCTTTTTTTTCCTAATAGCTTATTGTTACTACCAGTAAGGCACTTGTTCCTAGTAGGTACAAGAGCACTCGGGTACGAGGCGGTACGAGGCGTCGCTCCGTTCGCGTCTACCCCGCTGTGCTCCGCTTCCGCGGCGTTGGCGTCGTTTCATTCAGTTCGTCGCAGGCGGGGCGAACGGGTCGGCGTAAAGGAAGTTCCGTCATCTCGGAAACATCTGGTGCATCTCGGTGTCTGGTGTTTCTAGATGCCTTTGCTCATGGTTGGAGGCAATCACTAGTAGGTTGCCATCGTTAGTAGGTTGGAAGCCGTCACTATGAGGTTGGAGGCCATCGCTAGCCATCGCTAGTAGGTTGGAGGCCATTGCTACTGGGGTGGAGGCCATTGCTAGCCATCGCTAGAGGCCATCGCTAGTAGGTTGGAAGCCATCGCTACTATATGCAAGCCATCGCTAGTAGGTTGGAGGCCATTGCTATATTGGGTTCGTGGCTATCAGTTTGCTTAACAGGATTGGATGCATATTCCAAAAAATCAAACACATTCTGTGCATTGTTTTCGCATGTGGCAAGGGCAACATGCATTTCTTTTCACACCCACTCTTCCTTTAGGGTCAGACCGTTCAGCTAGGGTCCTCAAAACGCATAGCGGGCACAGCTTCTTGTCGACATGGCACATCACATATGTTTATGGATATTTATGGCAGTGCCTTGCACATTGCCTTCCCTTTATGCCTTCGCAGTTTTTCAAATCTACTTTCACTCTTGCCATCTCTGGCATGGACAAACCTGATTTGCGACAATTCGAAATCGTCTTTTTTGCTCCTTGAAAGGATTGGATCCAAAGCTCGTCCCAAACGCTTCTACGAGCCTCAAGAACAACTTCCGAAACTACAAACATTTTTTCAGCTTATGCTATTTTTCTCCTGTTTCCACGCTCCTTTGGTCCTTGAAGTTATTAAGGCTATCTTAAAGAATTCATTTCTTAGACTTGTTCTGTCGATTTCTTAGGTTTGCTTTTTCGTTTTTTTACATTTTATTTAAATTTATTTAATCTTTTTGACGTGACAGTCACTGATTTGCGCCTCGCCGCTGAAGCAGGCTTCGCCCAAGGAGAGCCGATTGGAGGCATCCAACTTGCCAGAAAAACATACCCAAAAACATACCTGGTTGTTGTTTCTTCTTATCCTTTCTTCCCCCTTTTTTTTTCTTTAATTGGTTTGTTCTTATATTTTTCTTTTAAAGGGGCGAAATCGCGCTAACGTCTCCCGCCTGGAGCATGCAATCGATGAGCTGGGTCAACTCAGCACTCATCACCTGGCGGAACGGTGTTCGAAACGGTGTTCGCGGTGTTCGGAACGTATTGGAGAGACATGGTATATGTTACTACTAGCTTCTTGTTACTACTAGTAAGGCACTTGTTACTAGAAGCGATGCACTTGTTACTACTAGACATGGTATATGTTTTTAATTCAAGTAACTTGAAGTAACTGATAACTGAAAAAAACATTTTTTGAAGAATGTCTCGGCCTCTGAAAGATGTTCAGTACCTTTCCTCAACTTCCTCTTCTTCAGAAATTTCATCAAACCAAACCTGGTACAAAACTGGGCGGCCCTGGTGTGAAAGCTGGCTTCTCTCTGCTTCAATGTGACAGCAAACGCGAACAAAACCAGAACCAAAATGCATGTCTTACATTAAAAACACAGAAACGCGAAGAAAGGTCAACTAAAGAAAACGATAAGGACACATGTCTAAAAATGGAGAAAACAAAGGCGAACAAAAAACGGAACAACGCGTCGCAAGATGTACCGTGCTAGTGCCGGGCGTTTCCTTTTCGATTTCCAGACGCGAATGGCAAACCGCAAGCACCTTCCAAACTGCCGTAACAACGTGGTTATCCCGTCCCAAACCATCCCACACCCCGGTGGGGGGGTACCCTAAAACAACCGATAAAGAAGGGCGCACGTTTAACCGGTCTAGAGAAATAGAAAACGACACGCGGTCTATCGAAAAACGGATCAAAGGCGGAAAGAAGAAACGACAACAGGGGAGAAAGGTCTTTATGAAAGAAGGCAGTCTAAAGAAACTATCGATAAAGGGCATAGGGCCTAAGGAAAAATGCAAGAAAAACAGGTCTAAAGGAAAACTGAAAGCAAGGTACGTGGGCCCAAGCAAGGGGAGAAAGGTCAAGCAACAAAACAAAAGAACAAAACGCAACGAACAAAACAAGGAAAGTATGTCTCAAGAAAAACGACAAGAGGAAGAACGGCTAACATTAGAACGAGGACAGCGTGCGTAAAGAAAAGCACGAGAGAAAAAACATGAGTTTAACAAAGAGCAAAAGAAAGTGTCCAGAATACAGAAAGAAAGCTCTAAAGAAAACACAAAAGAATGAAGAAAGGTCTCTAGAAAGAAAAAGAGAACATCATAAGCTTTAAGAAAAACGAACGAAGCGGTCTAGAGAAGAAAGAGAGAAATGAGAAAACAAGGTCAACTAACAGTTTCTGATACCGGCGTTCAGAAACTATGTTTTCGGAACCTAGTCGTGCGCTACACATGTTTCTAAAACTCTATGGTTGTTCAAAGCCACCTGACTCGTCTGCATACTGTTTCAAAAGTTTTTGCCAGGTATGTGGTTTCTGAAGGGTTTCAAACGCGCGAAAAGGGGCTAGAAAGCAGGATGAGCCCCACGATCCCGAACCCGCAAACGTTCTTGCGGGGCAATCATGTAAGGCGTTTTGAGGGGCTGGGATTGCGAAACCTCATGGCAGGGCTGCTTGATGTGTTGTCCCTGATGAGACTTCCCGCCTCACTCTTGAAGGAAGTTCCGTTTTAGAGACTTTGCCGCGTGAC